TAAAACTGAAGTCGTTTCTATTCCATACAATAAGCTCGGGAAGCAAAATAAAAATCTATCTGCATAATACAAGGTCAATCAGGCTATGGATAGTTATTTTACATCTGAATATTAAAAACATATGCTTCTCTGTAGAGGTTTTTAGAAAACTTGAACCTGCTGGTGCTCAGCATTTCTCAAGGAATGCTGAACACCTTCAAATCCCAGCAACCAGGGGACTTGAGCCATCTCAGAAGGGGGTCAAAGTGTGCAGGATTGTAAATCTGTATGATGAAAACATGTATTGTTTAGACAAGATGATGAACATTTTTTTAAAATTTAAAATTTAATCTTTAATCATTTCTTATTTACAAACTAATCCTAACAATGAGGTAATATATCCACAGCCCCATTGGTTTTATTCTCTTAAGTCAAACATATTCCATGCACAATGCTAATTAGTTTGTATTATAGCAAAAATGTTCTTAATAAGCAGAAATGTGAAACGACTTCAGGGTTCCTTTTTGATTACGCAATAGCCATGTAAAACAATCTTTAGGAGAAACATTTTACTGTAAGTATACCTACCGGGCTGCCTGCACCAGAAGAGATGGGCTTGTGGCTGAACACTGTCCTAGGAGAGATGAATCACATCCCTGCTGCACTATAACTTCTGATGTTATTTTCAACAAGTCTCTGCATCATCAAGAATACTTTCACTCACTTTCTCTGATTTTACAAGAATACTTCTCTATGTGCGTATAGAGCAACAGCTAGAACAGGGCTCCAGTCTCAGGTGGAGTCTCTAAATCGCAGTTTGATGGGAGCGTGTCAGGTTAACAAAAATCACGTAACAGGCAAGTCACAGGCTTTGACCATTGAACTGGCACCAAAGGAAAGGCTGAGCGCACCTGGGAGGCTTGTGTGCTACCCACTATGACCAGAGGTGACACAGCAACCTTTATTTGCAAAGCTATTAAAATAAAATAAAATACATAATATTTCAATTTTTGGTTGGTTTTAGAAATTTGATTTTGACAAGAAATTAAAAATGTTACATAACCACATAATTAAAACATCATTATGACAGATCGTTTACTTAAAATAAGCCATTTTGGTTAAGAACATCCTGGATATTCACTCTGCATTCTCTTGACCAGTAAAATGACATAAACAGTGGTCTGGTTTTGCAGCTTATCTATTTATGAACATATTTATGTTCTGACATAAATTTTAAAGGATCCAGAAGCAAAAGAATCCATCCTCGATGGTGTGTACCAAATGGAGAGCAACATGGTAAAAATGCCAAACACGACAAATTTTGCAAGCTACCAATATTTACCATCCGACACAGAGTACTATATTCTCATGCAAGCATGCCACAATGAGAAAACATCATCTCTATAAGGGTAAAACAAACAGCATTCAGAATTTCTGAAAGCATTCTACCAAAATTATTGCACTAGATTAGATTGCCTCATCAGCAGGGCCAGAGGCCATTTACACTATTTTCTTTCTTTATTTTTTTTTTTTATGTAACAGATGAAAGGATTACAGAAAGTTTTCTGGGGCCAAATTTGGAATTAATGATGGGAAAATTCTTTTGCTAATCCTCCATCTCTCCCACTGCTAGCAGACTCCTGAGGCTGGAAAAAACCAATGTCTCCTGGTACCCTGCTTCTACTTTGCTCATCAGTGCAAAATACTACGCTCAGGAGGTTTGAAAAGGACCCTCGGCTTTGAGCAGAGCCATAAAAATCTCAAGGACAGAGCTATACTGAAAATCTGAGTAAAGAACGACATGAGACTCCAATTAAAACTTGGACGCATCGCAACCAAATCAAAGGATGGGACTCATCTGCTCAGGGCGGATGTCTGCCAAGCAGCCACCTCCATCCGAGCCCAGGCTTGCTTTACGATTACTGGGGAAAAATGGGCTTTTCCAGGACATGCTGTGCCCTGCCCCGAGGTGGACGTGTCAGGCAGGCTGGAGGGATCACACCTGAGCAATCCCTGCTGGTGTCTGCTAACTACGGAGGAAGCTCGGAGAGATCGGCCGAAAGATGGGCGTTGCGGGGACGCGGAGCTAAGCGAGGCTGGCATCACCCAGCCTGCCCGAGAAGGACCTTCTCTTCTGGAGAGCACAGCAACCACTGCAGCCAGGCCCATTTGCAGGATGCCCTCTTACAAGCCTCAAGCATTACTCCTCAGCAGTGCCTGTCAGCCCACCAGTGAAGTAAAAATAGATACCGCCAAGTAACTACCCTTCTAAAAGCAAAGTTTAATCATTTTTCAGTCATTTAACAAACACAAAAGAATTTACACGTACCAACTCTACTCGAGAAGTAAACTTTGCATAATTAATCGGGATGCCTCCAATACTTGTGCATCTGCAAATGCACAGCTACACCAACTGGCACTCAAGGGAAAATGCCTCCGGCCACCTCAAAGAGCTGGGAAGTGCAAATATCTCAACTGAACAGAGAGCCTGAGCTGCTAGGGAAGGAAAAAAGCAGGCCTGAATAATAAGTTGTCTGGAAAATAAGTACAGTTACCCAGCTCCCTAAAGTCTGTTTCATTAACTAGCAGACGCTAATTCAGACAACTTCTGAACTAAGCCATATTTTATCGTAACGTCAGAACAAGCTAAAGGCACCTAATTAGTTGCAGAAGGTGGGAACATCCAAAGCAGGTCAGGGAAGTGGAAGTCAAGCTTCCCACAGAAACGGGCGATTTGATGGAAAATTTGACTCGAATAAAAAGAAATATTGATGCAGCACTTAATGAACGTGAACTTCCCCTGCCTCCCCACAATACAGACGATGCCATTATCACTCAGCACTAGGAAGGAAAGAGATTCCGAGTAAGGGGAAATTACAGGGCAGTTATCCTCATCAACCTGACAGTGTAACAGCAACACAAGATTGGCAGAGCGCCTGAGAAGTCTGTAGACAGTTAAGCACCGGGCACAAAATAAGATGTGTAAAGGGAAAGTAGCCCTTGGAAAATATTGCTAGGTATTTCAGCTTTTCCAGTGTGCCAGTGGCAATGAAACGCCCAATCATATCCCCCTGTATCTGAGAAAAAAAAAAAAAAAAAAAAAAAAGGGGGATTGCATAAAGTCAGAGAAAACATGGGAGTTCCACTTGCTCAGTAGTGTTGAAGCCAAATGCTGAGTGATCTGGTCCTCCATCTGCAAGAGTCAGACTATTTCCCACCTTTGTCAGACTGCTTAAAGATCTACAAACGACGCACTCTACATGGCTGGCAGGTTTTATTCTCGTGATTCTAGGGCAGTGAGAAGCAGAGGCAACTCGGCGTTTTCTCTTCCCCCAGGATCTGGCCCGCAGTCAACAACAGGCAATCCTCACCACTTTTTACTCTGAGCACTTGGGAAAGTTTCCATCTTTTGAGAAAGAGTTGCCTGTAGCTCAAAAAAGAGCTCACATGAAAATATTAAGAATTTTGCTCTAGGCTTTGTAACTATCTGTAAGACAAACAAAACTAGCATTATTTGTAAAAAGGAGGGTTAAATGCATTCCCAATTTCACAGATGTTTCAAGGCTTCATTGCTAGAAAAAGTCTGGCATGGTCACGCAGAAATGCAATGGTACAATACACATTACCTTCAGGGTCCCAAAAACATAAGGATTTGGGGAACCTCCCCCTACCCCCAACAGAGGGAAATAGGACACAGATCATATATTTTCCTGATGAGAAACCAAGGTTTCACAGAGAATTAGTAAACATCCTCATGCTTCCCACCTGTTTTCTATTTAGAGCAAAAAAAGCAATTAATATGGCTTTTTAAACAACAGTTAATAGAAGAAACTTAGGAAACTGAGATTTCTAACTGAAAATGTCTTTACTCGCATGAGGCAGAGGATCAAAACATGACAAGACCACTAAGCATAGTTTCTCCCAGCTGCACAAACCATTTCTTAACAATCTTAAGATTAATAAACAAAGACATATTCTAGGCATTTCATACCCCTCCTGGATTTAGCCATGTATGCAAGGCAAACATGAGAAAGCTGTCCCCTTACTTCACTCTCAGCTGGAACGGAGCTCCCAAGTAGTACTTCATGTTACGTGATTGTTAATACGGGAACCCCCCCACTCTGAGCAGACATGCAGAGAAACACAAGGGGAAGAAAATATAGGTCCAGGAAGAAGCCGATTTAAGCGTATCATTTATTAGCAAGTAAAAGGACATTTACCTTCTCAGTGGTTAAGTACAACACAACCCAAGGATAAACCGTATGGCTCAAGTCTTTGTGCAAGGGAGAAAGCTGGCAGGGTTCCACAGCTCTAATTGAACTATTACCATATTGTAAGAAATGAAAAAGTCAGAAAGACTTGAGGATCTGCTCTCCTAGGCACAGTTTATGTCATGCAAACAATTAAGTGAGTAACAAAGCGTATTTAACAGGAGAGCAATTCCACCATTTGGATACTGGCTCATTTTAAAGAAAATAGGTACTCTTCTAGTTCAATATTGCACTTAATTTGATCCTACATTCAATGCCATGAAACCTTCAAAATCCAAATCATTTGTAGCAAAGAATACAATGCTTCTCCTTTAGTCGCTGGCTCAAGACTTTTCCATTTAGTTAATAAGGAAAGACACAGAATAAGAATGCTCAAGTGAAACCCAGCAACACATAAAAGCTTATCATAAAAACTCATAAAACTGAAAAATGCAAAAGATCAAGCACAAAATTAATTTTGTACTATTTTTGTACTATTTTAATTTTGTACAAATAATCACCAATCTTTTCTTTCAAAAGGCAGGCTTGATAAAAATATACCAAGTGTTACACATTGTACACGCACAACGGGGAACGTAGTGAAACACAATAAAACCACCAGGTCATGAACAGATAGAATCCATAGCGGTTGTTTGTACATAAACCTTTGTAGGCAAAAAGCAGTGCAGTTTTATGAGGAGTGAAAAAACAAAGAATCACAATCTTACATAAAAATGAGGCAAAATGAGTCTCTATGAATCCTGTTCTTACCATTCTGTTCATCCAGCTCATTCCCAATTTCCTGCCCCATTTGCTTTTGCCGGGATATGATTGAAGAAAGAGCATCGAGTCCAGCATCTTGCTCTGCACCAGAAAAATACATAAAATTACATGAGAAAAAACTGCTGATATGCCAGTTACATACCATAAAAGATGTAGAAATAAGAAAAAGATCTACACTGTGCTTAAAGAGTTAAAATGTATTAAGAAAAATACATCAACACAACAGGAAAATGAATCCTTATGGCAACAGCACTCTTAAAATAATGTAAATGATGGGTAATTAATTTGTCTGCTCTGGCTAGGACATTTAGCTGAAGGTCCCAAAAAAACCCCCAAGAATTCAACATTCAGCTGTTACTCAATCATAAATGCAGGAGATTTTCTGGCACACGCATAGAGATCCCTGATTAGCCTTTTTAAATTTTCCAAGAAACTTTTAACATGAATAAAAGACAAACAGGTGATGCAAATACCAAAGAATTCAAGCAGATTTTTAAAGCTGCAAGAGGATACAGAGTGCATGGAAGAGAGCCTGAGACAGAGCGGACACAGTGAGGGCAGCTGAAGTTTGACATGCTCCCATCAGCTCTGCAGACACTCCTTTATTAAGATCCATATCACCTCCGCTATTTCATTTTGCAGGTACCATGCAGTCCTTAGTAAGCACCTTAACCAAAACATGTAGCTCTCCTTGCCTAAAGTCATCAAGAAGTAGAACAAGAAGAGATGCTGGAGGCTGGATGGTCCGTGGTTTGACAAACTGAAAAGCAGCAATGTTGCACAGAGCAAGACTGCCAGCCAGCTGCAGCCTGGGAGCCAAAAATTATATAGGACGGCCAGAACCCCCTTCCCTTCAACAGGATGAAGGTCTGGCCCCCAAATACCTCTTTCAGTCTCCCCAAGGGATACCTACGGTGTCATCAAAAACTGGAGCTTGAGGCTTCTCCTGGACCATCCAAAATAAAGTTCATGCTATTCTCCTGAACTGTAGCTATAAATGTTGTTTCATGTGCAGGCTGACGCGGGCCTTATCTGGAGACCAATTTCATTTGATCACTTCCAATACTTTAATTGCATAGAAATTACCTCATTAACTACCTGATGTCCTCAGGCTGAGGTTCTCCAACACCTCCAAAGTTGGAGATTCCTTACGGATGCTGAGAGCTAAAATCTAAAGACCCTTTTTAGATTAGTTAATTCTTACCTCGTTCCAATTCAATAATACATCTAATGCACTCCAGCCTGAAGCACAGCAGCAATACCACTACACTCAGTGCAATTAATGAGAACTCCACTGCAAACCAAAACTATGAATATGGTCAAAACCAGGGATGTCCTGTAAGGTCTTTGAAAATTTGATTTAAGAAGATGCTTCCAGTTAAGAATATTGCAAGCACAATACTGCTCCTGTAAATACATAACACCATCACCTGGAACTATTATGTTTGACATCTCCAGATAATAAAACTTCAGCACAGGTTATTGTATTGACTTTCTAATAAGGGCTCCTCTCAGAGTCCTAGCAATGCTTATGAAAAACAGAAAGGCTTTTGTACCTTCTATGATCCTTCGCTGCTGCTGCCTGAGATCGTCAAAGCCAAGCCCTCTGGTTTCCTCAGATTCTTCCAAGAGCCACGGGTTCGTTACACCTCGTTTGACCCCTCCCGTCATTAGGCTAGATCTGAAAATAACTTCAGTAAATAATTTTCAACACAAAACCCACTCATCATATAATTTGTGCTTGCAAGACTGGCTGACAGAAACGGAAGTGTATGTATTTGTTGCACTCCATGTGATTCTCTGCAATCATAGAAGAAATTAGCCAAAAAGACTCCGACGATCTCCGGTAACAAATACATCTCGCAGGCTCCGTAACACTGCCTGGAAATGGTAAAGCAGGGAGAGAATCAATTTTGCAGTGAACAATTAAGCTACATGGTGAAATGTACACCATACATTGTATAATATATTAAATATTAAATATTGTTTGCATGCAGAACACACAGCATTCGAAACTGCTACAAAAAGAACAGGGTTACTGGGAATACACATATTATTCATGTATTTGCTATGTGATCAAAATGCTAACTTATAAAAACACTGAGGTACAGTCTGAAAATTTCCAACAGTAAAAGGATCAACACATTAATACAGATGCAAATCAGATGAGACTACTCATTTTCTGCAATCCTGACCAAACCTAAAAGGAACATTTCTGCATTTCAAAAACTGTAGATGGAAGTTAGTTACCATCCTGCATTTCCTGGTCTGGCATCAACATGAACAAGAAGCCAGACACACACTCTCTTAAGTGAAAGAGTAATCAGGTTATGGGTTTCCTTTTAAAAGAATTATGACTTGAGGTTGTTCGTGTTATAGACACTTCCCTGGTTACAACGGAAAACAAGTTTTTCACGTCCAGGGCACATAAATTCAAGTAGTAAAATGAAATGCCACTTAAATATTTTTCTCAATACCAGATTACTGGTTTCTGCCTTTCAGCTTTTCATTGGTTTCTCCTACAAGAAAAACATTATACAACAGACTCTGAGCCACTTGAACCCAAAACTGTAACTCAGATTTGGGGTAAGAGTCATCGTAAGATCGGTTCCTCAAGAGCAGTACAGAAGTAAGAGTTTTTGCTTTCTGCTTTGCTTTTTTTAAACTCCTATTTTATTCTCATTTTACCTTTGCCCTGTTCTTTCCCAAAGCACTTCCACAAACAAAACAAGAACAGAGAGCATTTTCTCTCAAATTTTCCAAATTTTCTAATTTTTTTTTTTTTTTTTAAACTGAGTCCAGGTCCCTTCTCTGTGAGATATACTGAAACACTGTATGGTACACACATATGCTCAAAATCATTTTGTGGTCAAAACCCTGTATCAAAAGAACGCTGCACAAGTATCAGTGGAGCTAGGAGGAACTAACGCACCCTGCCGATACGGGGTTCAGCTCCCCAGAGGGATGACTGAAGTCTTACAGCAAGGGTATGCAAACAAAATCCAGAATTTGTGTCTAGGAGTTCCTTGAGAAATTATGGTGAACTAGAGACATCTCCTGGCCGTGAGATGAATCAACACTGCTGAAAAATAACTCCTCTCCACCACGTGAGTTTTGGGCCATCCATAAATTACAGGCACATACACCCTCGCCTGTGTGCCGCGCACCACACACTTCACATCACATTCACAGCCAGTTAAATTGAAGAATACTTAACTTCTTCTCACTTAAAATTTTAACATATTCATTAAACTTCACATCAAGGTAATGGACGTGTAGAATCAAAAAAAAAAAAAAGATTTTTTTTTGCAACAGGACTAAAAAGCGCTTATTGTAAATCACAACATCTCACTTAACCATCCTGACGATGCTGGAACACCACTCCAGAACAGAACCCAGACTGCCCCGCTGTGCAAACGACCAGCTGGCCGTCACGGGCAACCTCTGAAAGAGAGGAGCTGCGATTCTTCTGTATTTCAGTCCTTTGCACCTCCATTAAAACTTACATGTATTTATCGAAGTGAGGAACCAGGCTTGATTAGACAAAGATACACACACCTGAAATACAGTTTTACCCATTACCTAGCTTTTTTCATTCCTTTGGGGGATTAAACACACACTTATATTTTCTAGCCTCACAACGACTGCTACCAGGTTCACAAACCTAAACACAACGGAAGCATTACACTTCTAAAGATGCAAAGATCATTACAGTTCACCCAGTTCAGCAGTTCAATTAGCAAGCACACAAAACCTAGGGTTAACAACATCTGACAAAATTACTTAAATAAAGCAAATGGAACATAAACCTTTTTGCTTGCTAAAAAGAGCACAAATATTTCTGCCTGTTAAAAAAAAGCCAAGGCAAGCACATTTGAAATAATTTGCACCGCTCGCTCTCTCCCTTCCCCTAATAATCTGCCCTGTTCTTGTAGGTTGGGTCATGACAACTGGTCTGCTCCTAACAATAATCTTTTTGACATGTTTGGTAACTACCTTCCCACACAACACAGCATAACTTCCTACTTCCTCTGATCTTACCATGTTTCGCTTTGGTGGTGTGAAGATTAAAGCTTATCCAATTAGCCACCCACTGCCTCCGCCAAGTTAATCACGTAAATCTTTGAAACCGTCACAGAGCAGTGGAGTGTGCGGATAGCTTTTGATTATAGGAGCAGATTTAACTAATTATGAGGCTTAGCAATGCGCCCAAGTATAAAAGATGATGGGGTTTAAAATCAGGGAGCTATGTCACTGCTTAACAAGGAAGGGCTTATCTTCCAGAAGGCATTGTTTTACTGATAATTCTTACAAAACTTCCCAAGTAACTTAGATTAGTCAACCAGCACTTACTTTAGACCAAGGCCACACATCAAGGCTTACGGCTTTAGAAGGCTGATCAGCAAGACTGAATTTTAAACAAAACCTGGGTCATATGACAATTGGTTGGATGATCACTTGAACATTCCCTTAACGATACCGTTGTACAGTGGGGCTCTTTGAAGTGCCCAGAACACCTCAGCTTGGCTTCACAGGTCAATCTCCAAGGCAATGGCGAAGAAGCGGGGGTATTCTCTCACTTACAATTTAATTGCTCACACTGGCAGGCTGTGTATTTAGGAAGCTCCAAGCTAGTAAATAAAACAAGTATAATTTTACAATACAAAACAAAAGCTCTCTCCCCCTCCAAAAAAAAAAAAAACAGGAGAAGCCACATGAGCACAAGCACTTCCAAATCCCCTCCAGGTACCTTCCCAGGCAGAGACTTCCCCACAAGAAAGGCTCCCAACGGGAAGCCTACAGAAGGGGCAGCATTCCCTGCAGCTGGCAGAGGACTTCCCCAGCTCCACCAGCACAAGAACCAAGAGCAGCATATCTCATGTTCAAGGAAATGCCGTGTTACTCCTGACATCACTTACCTGCGGTTCGGTTAACTGGTCCCACTGGCTTCAATAACTGGAAGCTGCGCAAGCCAGCTGCCACACGGGATGCCAGACAGCCGATTTGCAGAACACAGCTACTTTGCGGCACCTCCAGGATCACTAATTCCTGCCCACAACAGAGGCATGGCAGCTTTGCACCGCAGAACAAGCGGCTCCCAACCACCTCGTGCTCGCACAGGACAGCGGGTGCCCATGGAGGAGCAGCACAAAGCAAGCGAAGCTGGAAGTGTGTTTGCACAGTTGTACAGGCACACTTATCTTGGAATAACATGCCCACTCGAAATGCTGAGTGTCTGGGTGGTGGAGTTGTGGCAAGAAACTACACAGAGGAGATACCTCTACACAAGGGTAAGGTTACCTTTATAACAAAATTTACACTCACATTTTATTTCACAGCAGTCTCACCTTCCTATGCAAACCCTCAAAATATACACCGCAATAAACATTTCCATCAGAGATTAATCTTGCTATCAAATATTACCACCTTCTTTCTACACCATCCCTTACTTTCTATGCAAGATTGGAGATAGCACAATACTAAATATATTATAAAACAGCTTATATAGTCCTCATCAAAACAGTCTCATCTCTACAGCCCACTTGCACTCCTCAGGAATGAGGGAAGTATAAGAAAGGAGGATTCTTTCTAGAAAGAAGCTGCATCTTGTATAGTTACCTCCAGAGAAAAGGTGAAGGGACAAATCTACTCCTGTGAGACTGTCCCGTTCACAAAATAATCAACAACTCCATCACCTGCAACTCGCATCTCTGCGCCCGAGGTGATGGACTCCCCCCTCGGTGCCATTCAGAGGGCTACTTTCGGGACAAGACACAGCACCAAGTTCACCCCTGAACCTCTGCTCTGCGCAGTGGCTGAAGTCTGCCCGACCACGAGCCTCCAAGCAGGTCTCAGCTTGGCGTTTGTTCTCACTACAGACCCAGCACGCCCACACTAGAATAACGCAGTGACGCTGCTGGTACAGAAACAACCTTGGGCAGGAAACTTCTGGTAGTTTCAAGCAAACTTAGGAGGCAAAACATAAAGCACAGAGCTCAGCCTTGAAAGCTGCCCTCCTACTGACATTTTTTCCTGAGGCTAATGAGCGATAAGGTTTAATAACAGTCATGCAGGCACAACCTGAAGCACAATGCCTAAAATTACAGGGTTTGATTTGCTCTTCTCTGTTGTGTTTAAATATCCGTTCTTTGCTATTCCTTATAAAATGCAAGTATATGCAGTTTTCTCATAACCACAAGTCTGACTTCAGAGCATACTGGAGGTCCCTTAAGGACCTCGCTGAAGGGAGAGAGATGCAAACTGTCCCTTGAACACAGGCCAAAAGGAGGAGACTTCACCTACTGGAATTTTCCTTAAATTTGGGGTTGCCACAACCACCCTCGGGTTTTAACAGGCACTGTACCTGCTGCTTGCGTGAGGATGCACTCACGTCTGCACACGCTGTAACCTACAGAGTGCTTCCAGGTGACAAGTGGTACAACGGGAGATGACCCAAGTACAGAGACACGGTTTAGTGGATGAGGAGGGTGTTGAGACAATTACAACCATGTTGGCTCGTGACTACACGGCCAAAGACACGTTAATCCTGGAAAATCCTCCCCCAGCCCCTAGGTTTGATCTTATGACTCAAGCCTCAGACGTTCTCGAGCATTGGTTTCTGGATGGACAATTCATCTCTTCTTCCACCCTCTCCATCGATCTCCTAGACACGAGGCTAAT